GCAGGGTCGGGCCAGGGGAAAGGGTCTGCCGACCGGCCGGGGAGCCTGCGGCGCGCGGCTCTCCTGGGGCCCGAAACCTCCTGTCCCCCACCCCAAACTCCAGATAACCAAGGGTGATTCGTGTATGGCTCCCAAGTCTAGACTTTTCTTTAACGGTAATTCAGCTTTAATTAATAAAGCCTCACCTCAGGACCCCCAGGGCAGAGCTGTGAACAGGTGGGAGGTTAACAATTATGCAGAAAGAGCCCTGAGGGCCTAGTGGTTCAAGTTTGGCGCTTTCACCTCTTCCGGCGGTGGGGTTCCTGGGGCGCAGAACCTCACCACCCGGAACCTCACCACCCGTCTGTCAGTAGCCATGCTGGGCAGCCGCTCATATAGAAGGACTAGAAGGACTTACAGCTAGGATACACATGCACTGGGGCTTTGGGAAGAAAAAAAATGATGCAGAAGATACTGCGTGAGAGAGCGTGTTGGCGGGGATGGGTAGAGGACTTAAAACTTCAAAAGGACACCATGGACCAAGTTGATAGGCAGATAGATGTTACAAGAGGGAATCTATTTGTAATGAGGGATTAATATTGTCAGAGTCTAATTTTCAAAAAAGTGTGGGAGATCAAAATTAGCTACCTCAAAATATGTCTCTTTACCTTGATTATTTTCTCTGAAAGAAACTTTAACCTCCCTTCCCCCCCCCCCCAAGGGAGGGAATTTAACCCTGGGTGTTTATAGACTGGGAGAGGCCTTGCTAAGCCCATTCTTATCCATGTTCTGTTTACCAAACATTTACATTTATAAGGGAACCCTCCATTTGTCAAGGTATCTCCCTCTCTGTACCAAGAAGCAGGAGGGATGACCTTATCTCTAGAAACTCGTATGAGTGCAGAAGGTGATTGCTTCTGCGTATTCTGGACTGCTGTGCTGATAACTCCCATAGCTGACTCCCCACCCTCAACATCCTCGTCTGTCTGCCTGAATATGCTATTTAAGGTGAAAACCTCCACCATTTGTCGAGAAACTCGGTTTCTCCCGTGTATACATGTTATAAAGCTTTGTTTGATTTACTCCTGCTATTTGGTCTCATGTCGATTTAATTTGTAGCCCCGCCAAAAAGGACCCAGAGTGGGTAGATGATAGTCTTCTTGCCCCACAAAAGTTATAAACATGACTCATTACAAAATAGAATGAAACTGTATCAGAGATTTTATTCAACTCAAGAATTAGACAGTTATTACGATATAAGTCTGGTTCAAAGACAATTTACTAAAGCAATGTTAGAATAATATTGCTAAATAGGTTAAAAATTGAGTAATGTCCCACACTGACTTGGCCCTAGTATCTAAGCCTGGGCCGTCCCATCCTCACTCAAGTAAATGAAAAAGAAATTTCATTTATATTGAATTTCTGAGAGTAACTTAAATATTTATTTGTGACAAGCCTCTCTCTCTCTCTCTATATATATATATTATATACACACATGCATATACATATATATAAACACACATGCATATACATATATATAAACACACACACACTATTTGGAGATAAAATAGCAGATCTAGAAGCAAGCAGAAACAATATCATTAGATCCAACATGGCAGGGATTCAAATATCATCTCTCTCTCCCTCTCTTCCCCCTTCCCCTCCCCTCTCTGCTCTTCCCTCTCCCCTCCTCTCTTTATATATCTCTATCTTTCAACTCGGTTTTCTGTATTGGCTTCATTCTTGGACAGTCTCTTTCTTCATTATAATACCCTAGGTAGCAAGGACAACCGCTCAAGAAAGTGTAAGTCCCACACTCAACATATTGTTCCTGATAAAGGATCCCAATTGACAAGCTTGATTTCACACCCGCCCCTATGGCAGAACTAGTGAAGTCACATCACCAACATGGAATGGAGATGCCAACTTTTCCAAAAGGAGAAGAGGTGTTCTGTTACCAGAAGGAGAAAGGGATATTAGGCAGGCCAGAACCACAGATCTGCTATGTTAGTATTCTGAAAATGTTGGTGAAAAGCTGTAACAACAGACTTCAAAGAAACTTTATGGGGCATGCTTAAAGTAAAGTTCTGTAACAGCAAGCCTCAGTATCACACTATTCTTCACTCTTCTTATAATTAACATAAATTTAATTTGCACTATACATCTTAGCTGCCACTTTTTACTGTTAATTGAAGGCTAACAGCATAAGCTTTCCAAGATTCAATCTCCATTTCATATTGTTGAAATTACCATATATTTAATGATGACTTCACCTTGTGTATTAGTTATCTATTGCTGTGTAACAAATTACTCCAAAACTTAGGAGCTTAAAACAACAACAAATAATAAATGCTACAATAATAAATATCTCATTGCTTCTGTGGATCAGGAATTCGGGAATCTTAGCTGGGTGATTCTGGCTCAGAGACTTTGATGAGGTTGCAGTTATCTGAAGGCTTTTTTCTGAAAGCTTTTTTTCCTGAAGGCTGATGCTAGAGGATCTGATTCTAAGCTAACTTCCATGGCTGTTGGCAAGAGACCTGAGTTCCTTGCTGGCTGTTGGCTGAAGGCCTCAGTTAGTTGCTGCGTGTGTCTCTCCATAGGGTTCTTGTGACGCTCGCAACATGGCAACTGGCTTCCCCTAGACCAAGTGATCTAAGAGAGACAGAGAGCACAAAGAGGAAAGCACGATGCCTTTATGTGACTTAATCTTGTAAGTGATGCTTCCACCATATTGTATCCCTTAGAAACGAGTTACTAAATACAGCCCGCATTCAAGGGGAGGGACATTAGGCTCCATCTTTTGAAGGGAGGAGTCCACTCTCCGACCACAAATTATTTATATTCCTCTCATATGCAAATAATATTGCCTTCCTCCCAGGAACCCCAAAAGTCTCCTCCCTTTACAACTTTAGCTTGAAATCGAGAATGTTGGCATCTAAATTAGTTCTAGGTATGGATAAAGCTCCTTGTATGTATCCTTAAATATTCTCAAGTAACAGTCTTTTAATCTGAAGACCTGTGAACTAAAGGGACAAGTTATCTGCTCCCCATGTGTATAAAATATGATGGTGGGACAGGCATAGGACAACCACTATAGACAGTTCTGTTCAAAAGAGGCATCAAGAGGTCTGTAGCAATTCCTAAATCCAGCCAGGCAAATGTTGGGAGTTCCTTGATTAGGATTCAAAGCCTGGAAGTAATTCTCTGTGGCTCTTGACTCCGCTGTCTGGACTTTTGGTTCTGCCTTCTGATTCGTCTTTCCTTTTGCGTGAAAAGTAGGATGTGTTTGTAGTTGAGTAGATTTCTCAGCCTGGTGCTACTTGTAGAACTATGAGGATCCAAAGACCCTTTTTCATTTGGTACTGTCCTTATCCCTTTCAGTTCAAACTGGCGCTGTTTCTGCCAACATAATTCTGTTAAAAACTGTTGATTCACTATGAATCTCACTGAGATTTATGCCACTAGACAAAGCTACACCTGCCAATCTCTTCAAGATATGTGCTTCTCCACCTTGGGCTTCTGCTGAGGGAGAACATCCTCAGAAACCCTGTTGTATGATTGAAAGGATCAGTCAGGCACAGCTTAAAACATTTGGATGACATTTGTCTCATTGACAGATGCTCTAAGGCACCACCATAGCTCTTCCTGAGGTCTTGAGAGACTTTATGATCACAAATTTTGTTTCATAGTTAGACCCTGTTTTCCTGAGTGACTGGACTTGATCTCTGCCTGAAAGCCAGGTCTTCATTTCAGTGTCGTTGGCTGCCTAGAAAGTCTGGAAATCTTAAAAAAGCCATTAAGTCATGGCTTCTTTCTGTTTAACAGTCCTTCTGTTAGCCTATTTTATTCCTTCCACGTTTCAGTATAGCAGAGAGATGGAGCGAGGAGGCACCTTGAACACCCCAGCTGGAAATCTCCTTAAGCAGCCCACAGATTCATCAGGCAGGCGCCTCTTCTTTCCACATTACTGCAGGCCACTGCGTTGCTCATCCTTCTGCCATGGTATAACCAGGACCTCGTGTCCTCCAGTTTCCAATAAGATCTTCCTCATTCTCCTTTAAGTGAGCTTCCTCAAGTCTGTACTTCTAACACTTTTCAAGGTACTTCATGCTTTCCTCCAAGCCTGTCTTCAAAGTCATTCCAGCTGTGTCCACTGCCTGACTCCACAGTCACTCCTGCATTTTAAGGGTTTGTTATGGCAGCAGCCCACTACCAGGTATCAAAATTGGTATTTATTATTTGTTGCTGTGTAACAAATTACCAACACTTAAAGGAAGTGTACAATTAAAATTTTGATAGCTAGTGCCAAATTTTCCTCTGAAACCGGTAACAGTGTAGGAGTGTCCATTTCTCTACGATCTCATCTCACAACATTATTAATCATTTTCAATTTTGTAAACTGTTTTAATTCATACTTCCTTAATTACTTGTGAGGTTAGATAAAATGACCATTTTATATCTTCTAGTAAGAGCCTTTTCATATCTTTTCAGTTGTCTTCTTTCTCTAATGATTTGTATGGGTGATTTTAAAATTATGGATATTAATCTGTCCTGTATATTGCAAATATTTTCCCCTAGTTATCAATTTTCTTTTATCTTTACTTACATGGTAGTTTGTCTTACAGTGGTATTAACTTTTTTTG